ATAAATCATGCTTTGAACTCACCAATAAACTAGTAAATCATGGTTAACTGAGTGCAACACAGACAATAATTTCTTGAACTAAAACCCAATTAGTTTGGATCAAGGCTTAATTGAGTGACTAAGCAAACCCAAGAGTAATAAATCTTACACAACATAGACTTTAACATCTATAATTAGCCAACGTGGAAAGACGCAATTAAGTAAAAATTGAATTTATTTGTAAAACATGAAGTTTTTAGACTTGTAGTCCATACAACAAATAGTGTTAAACCAATAAAGTATAAATAGATATTTATACGAATATGAAATGAGAAAATTGAAATTATGAGATTTTATTTTTTTTTGAAAAGATGAGTTTTTATTAATGATAAGCTGGAATGTCGTGGGGAGTCTTCAACGTTGAGATTTGGAGACTCCTGTTGACATGCAAGCTATCATAAGAAGAGCCTGTTCTGAACAATTACAAAAGGAGCAGCGGCTCAAGGAGCACTTGGCAGCATCTCAACACAGATAATCTCAAAAACAAGCAGAGTTTTAGATAAATCCTTAAACAAAAGTCTAATACTAGTGAAACTCTATCAGAATGATAAGATAAATGAGTGTTTTTGGGGTTGACAATCCTCAATCATCACTACTTATCGCACAAGGTTTTACTTAAAGATCTGGTATTGAATATGAAGTGATATATTCTTTATGGTAGATACAATTACAATTCTATAATAACTAGTCTAGTATATATGAGAATATTGAAATGTGTCTAATTAATGTAGCTACAGTCTATTTATATGACTCACTTGATAACGATATTTATATGAAAATCTTTGAAGGATTTAAGTTGTTTGAAACATAAAATTTGAATTCTCAAAAAATTTATCCGATCAAATTAAATAAATCTTTATATGTATTAAAGTAATTCAGACACATATGGTATAATCACTTTAGTGAATATTTATTGAAAAAATGTTATAAAAATAATTCTATATGTCCATGTATTTTATAAAAAGATTTAGATCTGAATTTATTATAAGTGTTGTTTATGTTGATGACCTAAACATTATTGAAACTTTTGAAGAGTTATCAAAAGCCATTAATTACTTAAAGAAAGAATTTGAGATCAAAGATCTCGAAAAACAAAGTTTTGTTTGGGTCTTTAAATTAAACACTTGACAAATGAAATTTTTGTCCATCAATCTAATTATATAGCAAAAATGCTAAAACAATTTTATATAGATAAAGTATATATATTAAGTTCATCAATGGTTGTAAGGTCATTAGATATGAAAAAAGATCCTTTTCTACTTTGTGAGGATAATAAAGAACTTTTTTATCCTAAAATACCATATTTTATTACAAGTGGAGCACTTATGTATCTTACTAGTAATACATGACCTGATATATCATATGCTATGAACTTATTAGAAATATGTAGTTCTTCTCCAACTCAAAGACATTAGAACGGAATTAAACATATAGTTTGATATCTGCAAAGAACAATAGATATGGACTTATATTATTCAAATGCATTAAAATTAGATTTAATTAGTTATGCAGATACGAGATATTTATCTGATCCACACAAAGCTCGATCATAAACAAGTTACTTGTTCACATATGTAGGTACGACTATTTCATAACGTTTTATAAAACAAACTGTAATTGCTACTTTTTCTAATCATGCAGAAATTTTAACAATTTATAAAGTAAGTCGTGAATGTGTTTGGTTAAGATTTATAACTCAATATATTTGAAAAACGGGTAGCTTGTTAACCAATAAGAAAATTTCAAAAATGTTATATGAAGATAATATTGCTTGCATAGCATAATTAAAAGAATGATACGTTAAAGGCGATAAAATAAAACATATTTTGTCAAAATTTTTCTTCACTCATGATCTCTAAGAAAAGGGTGATATTAGTGTTCAACAAATTCGTTCAAGTGACAATCTAGTAGATTTGTTTACTAAAGCCCTTCGTACTGTAATATTCAAAAAGTTGATACAATAAATTGAAATGCATCATTTTAAAGATCTCTGTATTGCAGTCATCAGAGGCAGTAAAATACTCACTGTGCTCTTTTCCTTAATCAAGATTTTTCTCACTAGGTTTTTCTTGATATGAGGTTTTTAATGAGATAGTATTTCAAAAGCGTATTCTTGAAAAGAATTATGTATTATTTTTTCTTCACTCGGATTTTTTTCCCATAAGATTTTTTCCTTGTACGGTTTTAACGAAGCATATTTTTTCCTTGTATGAATATTTCTGTGAATATCCATTTATGTTATCTATATCTAGTTTTAGATGTAAATTAGATTGGATCAACCTTAGGATTTAATCCATCCATCTAATCTCTAAGCATTATCTTCATCTTAAATTCAATCGAGATAAAGAGTTATTTGTCTATAGATAAGACCCTCACTTCATTTATAAACACTCACTTCAATAATATCTTATTTCTCCCTCTAAATACTTTATTTTCCTCTAAATACTTTCTTTGATATTTCTCTTATTTCTTCTTTCATATTTATTTCATAACAAATTTAAAATATTAATTTTTTATAATTTTTAATAAAAATATTAAATATTTTTATTTTAAGAGCATGTTTGGCTTGATTTTTTTTTTAAACTTAAAAGCTATTATAAAGCTCTTATAAAAAATAATAGCTTTTAAAATTAAGCTCAAGTTGTTGGATAATTTACTTTTTATAAGTTCTTTTTCATAAATAAGCTATTTAGCAAAACAACTTATAAACTTTAAGTTTAGTTAAAATTAACATAAAAGGTATTTAATAAATAACTTTTTATTAATTACGAATTTCTTTATTCAAAATAAAAAAAAATTAACTTTATTTTTTATCAACTTAAAAAAATTTTGGAAATATAAAAAATATTTTTATATAACATAAAGTTTATAATCAATAATAAATCACCAAAAAAGAGTTTCACAAATAATTTATAAGTAACACATTATTCATAAATAACTCATAAGTTAACGATTTCTATTTTCCATCAATGTAGAGAAAAAAATTGACTCAAACAAAAAAAAAAGAGATGAAAGAAAGTAGTGAGTTGACTACTAGAACTCTTAACCCTAACAATGGAGGTGAACCCAAAAAAGAAGAAGATAAATCTAAAGTGGTGGTAATAATTTAAAAAAATCACGTTTAGCTATTAATGTCCTTACCAACAAAGTCCACCTCCATGAACAATATTATCTCAACAACCATAATCATCAAATATTATTTCAATTTTCATCTAATTTATCTTAACAACCATTAACCTATTTGATTAATTATTTCAATTATAATCATCAAATATTATATACACCATAAAGAAGTTAGGAATAAATAAACATCATATAATTATCATATCAAACAATAAACTGAGAAATATCAACTAATAAAAAGAGTTTTCAAAGTTTAAAAAAATTATAGAAAATAAAATGAAAAACAAAATAAAAAGAAAAAGAAGAAATAATACCTGAATGTGCCTGAATGTAATTTTGAATTTTTATTGTTTTTTCTTAATTTTTGTAGGAATCTAAAAAACCCTAGAATGATGATTTGCAAAAAAGAGGGAGGAGAGGGAGATCGATAGGAGAGAGGAAAGATTATTTTTTGAGAGAGAATCTTTTGAGAAAAAATAACTCTCTTAAAAAACTGATTGTATTTAAAAGAAAAAAAAGAGAAAGCTTCTAATTGGAGCTTTTTTTTAGATTTTTTTTTTAAAAAAAGTGTTTTTAAAAGCTTTTCACGAAATCCTATTGACTTAACTTTTACTTTTAAGTAGTAGATAAGTTAAAAATAAACTAGACCAAACAGGTACTAAATTCTTATAAATAATATTCTCGTTTTATCAATTTAAAAACTATTCTCCCAATCATGAAATAGCAAATATTATGAAAGGTGAAGTTTAATTAAGCATGATTTTTAATTGATTTTGAAGAATATCTCTTCTTCTGAGACAATTTCCAACCAAACCAGGAAAAATATGATAGATGGCAATAGAGGGAGCTATTGGACCTATGGTCGCATCTCATTTTCAAGCATCAAATTCCACGAGGCTAACAATCCAGCTCCAATTTGGAGGAAATGTTGATTAATTCACATTTAGGAAATACCGATCAACCAATGCCAACATCCAATACCAAAATGAAGGAACTCGTTCTCTCTTTACAAGTAGATGGAACCAGTATTTTCAAGCTGTTGAATGGGGTTGCAACTGCTGGAAGGCTAGAAATTTGTGGCAAGTAGATTGCCGCCGGAAATTGCATAATTGCATTCTAGGAGAGTAAGAATGATACCGACAGATGATGAAGTACATCGTGCTGCAGTTGATGTAGTAGGTGCAAAAGGACTTGAAATCTGATTATATCTGGACATTCTACCCCAACTGCTGGATGCCAGCTAAATAGAACACCTCAAAGTGAACCTAAATGTAAATAAATAACCAGAATTAAGCATTCTCGACATTACACATAATTCAGTATACTTGCACCAGCAATACTAAAGATCTTCAAGTTACATGTTTTAAGGCCTCCACAACGAAAACATTCAAGCCTATTCTGAAGTGTGCAATTACGATTCTTTCTAAGTGCTCATCCAGATGCCTGTGGAAGTGACATGGCTGTGTTGGGTTTTTGATATTCAACTCATGCATCTGTGAAATAAAGTGGACCATAAAGGAAATGAAAATCTTGATGAGCCTCTTTCCAGCAGGCTATATATAGCTTCTTCACTGAAAAATAAAACAGAATCCTCTCAGTTTCATGTGAAATACTAGTAGACCACATCATTTGCCTGGGACATCCCCACATCTACTGGCAATATCTCAAGCAATCAAACCTAGCGACATCCTAGACTACAACATCATTACAACTCCACAAGACCTAAAAGGAAGGAAAACGAAAGGGCTATAAAAATTCTGTCAAAATTTAAAGCTTCAGATATGTTCTATACAAGCCACAGAATGTCTCCTTCATACACCTTCATGTAGTTTTCTGAGCTAAGCCTTGCTGAAATGGCTCTTAGGTGTCAACCATCCAGCATCATCACCACTAGGACTGTGATCTCCACCGATGTTCAAAATATCTTCAGAATCGGCTAACAAATTAGACCTGATCGTCACTGTTGGTCTCATTGATGGTAAAAGCGGAAGTGACGTTTCACCTCTTAAAATCCTAGCAGCTTCCTTCACTGTGGGTCTCTTCTCATGGTTCGGATGCACACAACAAAGTCCCACCTTGAGCATCCTCTCCATCTCTAAAACATCGTACCTCCCTGAGAGGCTACAATCAGCGGCCTCAATTAGTTTCCTTCTCACCCACAGGTCCCAAACCCAGTCAACAAGCACAGTTCCGTCTTCGGCCACAGGCCTCTTTCCTGTAGCCACCTCCAGCACAACCACACCGAAGCTGTAAACGTCTGTTTTCACAGTTGGAACACCACAATAAACATACTCAGGTGCGAGATATCCTATCGTTCCAGCTGGTATTGTGGCTTCTCTTGAAGCACAACTATGTTCATAGACTTCTGCTAAACCAAAATCTCCAAGCTTGGCATTGAATTCATCATCAAGCATTATGTTGCAAGTCTTCACATCTCTATGGATTATCTGTCTTGCACATTCTTCATGTAGATATGTAAGAGCAGAAGCAACCCCTAGAACTATGTTTAATCTTAAGCTCCAAGAGAGGAAAATTACAGAATCCGAGTTTTTATGAAGGAGTTTGTCAAGGCTTCCATTGGGCAAGTACTCATAGACCAGGATTAACTCAGATCCCTCACAGCACCACCCTTGAATCTGGACCAAGTTCTTGTGTTTTAAGCAACCCATCATCGTGGCAAACTCGGTGGTAAAAGGATTACGACCGCATTCTTTGTTGGACTGATCAAACCGCTTCACTGCCACAGCTCCAGCAGAAGGAAGAGACCCTTTGTAAACAACCGCTGAAGCACCTTCACCAACAATTCTATTCCTATGAAACCCCATTGTAGCTGATTTTATCTCCGCAAGTGACAATCTTGTTGGTACATTATTCATTTGAACTCTAGTCTGTATTCTTTTTCCTCTTCTGCCAACACCCCTTTTCTTCCTCACCGCAAAGAAACAAATCACAGCAATAATTGCTATTACAAAGACAACAGATATAGTTAAGCATCCCAATGCAACAGCCATGTTCCCCATCTTGAAACTTCTTTTATGAGGACGATAAATCTGAGGGCTATTGGTAGATGAATCCTCTGGAGAGCACATGAAGCAATACCCTTCTTCAATTGCATCTATTGGATTCACAGAAGGCCGGTAAGTCCTGAATGTTTTAAACCGCCATCGATCAACAGTGTGCATTGCAGAACCTTGTCCATTAGAAGCAGAGAAACCAACATGCATATATTCCTTGAATTGCGTGGCAAGGTCAATTTGGGCAACAAGAGCAGGACTTGGAGGCTTAGTTGATGAATAACTAACCCATATCTGAATCAACTTGGCGGAATCCCTATACTCAATCCAAGCTGTTATCTTTTTCCCACTTTTAAGATCAACCCCTTTTGACACAACATCAACCGAAGCAAAAGAAACGACCGTGTTCACATCAATCCCTATGTGATTACCGTTGATGTCACCAACTGAAGGATTAAAACTCGTATCAAACTCCACAGCAAAGAAAGAATCTTGAGAGTTTAAGTCACGTTGTGGAAGTCCTATGTACCCATTGGAGAAGCTGAAAGCATCAGCATTAGAGGTGATCAAGAAAACGATGCCATCTCCAAAAGGACATAGGGGGTTTGGGATGATGGAGAAAGAGAAACGGCAAGAGAAAGATGCAGTGGTTTTGTTCTTGAGATCAAGAAAACGAAAAGGGTAGGCGTAGAGAGCTCTTCCAATGTTAGCAGGAGAAGAAGAAGGCAGGCAGGTGGTTTCTTGAGTGAGACTAATGCCATTGTTTCTAAAGAAAGCGTCACCATAGAGGGTGATGTTGTTTGGAGTCAAAAGAGGGTGAGAAAGTGAGGGAAAAGCGAAGTTTAAGAGGAAAAGGTGGACCCAGAAGAGAAATAGACAAGAAACTTGCATTGTCTACGTTGTGGAAGAGATAAGAAGAGGGTCTTCTTGATGATAGTTACTCGGAAAGAGATGGTTTTCTTGAGAGCAAATGAGGTCTTACTGTGAAAATCTTGAAATAAAGTAGAAACAAAAAGAAAATTTCTTGCTTGTTTGATCCTCCATCTCGTATTAAAAGAGATTATTCATTGTTTTGGCAAAAAAATAAGTTAGAAAAAACAAATACAAAGTTCAAAGTATATTTTATAAGCCTAATAAATTGCATTTTGTCGTCTAAATACTTTATCCAATCTTTACACGTAAATGATTTAATACGTAAAATATCTTAATTTTTATATTAAAATTTATTTTTTTAATATTAAAGATAATATTACAAAAAATAAGTAATAATTGTAAATAGTTTTTAATGCAAATTGCATACTTTATAAACAATTATTATTTTAAACAATCAAATTTAATTTAATTTCTTTACTTCCATGCATTATAATATTGTCTATATGTTTCAACAAGATGAGCATTTAATCTATACTTGAAACGTTTATTTTTATTCTTTTTTGTGCATATGCGTTTATTGTATATTTTTCCTTGAGTTTAATTAATACGTTAAAATAATAATAACAAATATATATGAAAAAAAATCTTTTAACAAAAAAAATTTATAATTGAATAAATAATTGAGAGAAATTTGAGTTTTTGCTTAAATTGGCAATTAATATAACTAATGTGATCAACTTTGTGGATCTCAATTTTCAATCTTCATTCAATCAACACCTAATAATCATATTTTCATGAAAAAGAGTAAAGTTTAATAAATTGTTAGTCTAAATGTTTATATATATATATATATATATGTGTGTGTGTGTGTGTATAAATCAATAAAGTACCCATTAAATTTAATAAATAAATGATGAGATTAATAATTAAGTTTAAAGTATCAACTAAAACTAAATGTAGATGGCTTTTCAAAAAAAAAAGTAAATGCAAAATAAAAAGAGGAAAAAAAACATGAATCAATACTTATGTCCTCTGAATGACAAAGAGGAGGTCTTAATACTTTTAGATTTAAATTCAACTTTCATTATGTTTACATTTGATATAATTTTATGTTGGATTTTATCCAATCATATATACGAATGTTTGTTAAGTCTTTAGTTTACTTCATTTTAATTTCTTATATCATATGTAACAGCTGTGTCATTTACATGTTAAGAGTTATTTGATTATGGTTGTAATTTCTATTTGTATATATAACTTCAAACCAATAATTGCTTGATTAGTTAAGTCAATATCTTCTCATCTATTAAAACACTTTATCAATTAAATTATTAACATTATATAATTTAGTTCCTAATTTTCTAGCCACTAATTAGGCAAAATTAATTTTCCTTCAATCAATTATTCTCAATGCCAATGAGGCCTTCTCTAAGTGGTAAAGAAAAGGTCCTAAAACCTTTAGGTTCTAATTCGACTCTCATTACATGTAAGTTTAATCTGATTTTATGCTGAATTTTTTTCCAATTATATATGCTAGTTTTTTTTTATATCATATACATGTTAAAAGTTATTTGATTATGATTGTAATATTTATTTGTATATATAACTTCCAAAAAGAAGCAATAGTTGCTTGATCATAAGTTAATATTTTATCATCTATTAGGACACTTTATCAATTAATTATTGAAATATTACAAAGTTTAATTAGGTCCAAAGTTTCTAACCAATAGTTAGGCAAAATTCATTTTTATAAGCACATCCTAAAAAAATATATGAAGTAACTAAGGAATTGCATCTCTTTTTCCTTTACTTTTTAATTCCAATTTTGGAAATACTTTATTGAATTGAATCTATTACATCTTATAAATGTGATTTATATAGTTTAAAAAACAAGTATCTAATAAATGTGATTTTATTTGATGTCAAATTATGATATATTAGACTCACTTCTGTTTATTTAAATCATGGTCTAATGACTGTAATCTTATTAGAAGAATGCTAATTTTGTGTAAAAGTTATTTAATTATGAATTCAAGTAAACTACTGTTAAATATAATAATGATAATTTAAAGAAGTATTTGAAAGATAAATTTATTAATTTAAAATTTTTTGTAAGGATATTTTTAATTCTTTCACTTAACTTTGTCCTTATCATTTCGAATATTCTTTTTTGGACAACTATATTCCTAAACAAACTCTCAAGCCTCTGCAAAATTGAACTCTTAGATTATATATTATAATACGACTTCAAAAATGATTAATTAAATAAACTATTATTAATTAAGAATAAAATACTTCCATTTAATAAACGATTAAAAATATATATAGTTTACTAAATTGATATTGATAATTTGATATTATATATCTAAATTTTCATGAATAATATGATTGATTAATGTTAAGCATATTTGAAAGCTAAAATATTTCTATGTTGTTACTCCACATCTTAGTTTAAGGAAAAATGTCTTATTTCGTTGATATCAAGATTGTAAGTAAATTCAAAAAGGTACTTCAAAATACTTAAAAAAGATATTATAATTTCTTTTTTCAAATGATAGTTTTAATCATTTACTATTAACATCATTAATCAACAGTTAAAGCAATTATATTTAACTTTTTTTGTATAAATTTGTCCTCTGTCCAGTATGTGCTGGACCTAAATAGGGGGGGGCTTTTCTTTCTGTATGCAGGCAGGTTTGTTTTTGTTAGCCTGCTACTTCCATGTAAATATTTTAGTCTGTGAATGAATTTTCAGTTAATACTATTGAAATATGTTAGGACACAAATGCTCTCTTAAGAAAAATCTACTTTTCCTCCTTTTTAAAATTTAATAAAATTTATTTTAATATTTAATAAATTTTAATATTTAACATTAAAACAGGATTTATAAATGGAATAGATTGTCTTAATTTGATACCTAATAAAATTTAATATATATTTTAAAATATTATGTAATATTAAATATAATTTTTTAATTATTAATAAATGGTATTAACAATCAAAAGCTTAAAAATATTGTTTTTAAATAAAAAAAATAAAAATATCTTTTGAAATTGAAGTGTTTTAAGGGGTTTTTCGAATTTTAACCAAAGCTGTGTCTCCAGCCCAACCAAATTCAAGCTTAGAACTTTTTAGCCTCTATGAATGGCCATTTGTTCCCTTGGAAGTACGCAGACGATGGCAGCCTGTTACTTTCACATCCAAACAAATCTCTCTACAAGCTTAAAAATTTGTGGTTATGGAAACTCTATTATATGGTGACGGCAGCCAAAAACACATTGTTAAACGACATCGTGTGCGGTCGGTGTTCTTACCAACGAAACAACATCGTTTTGGTCATCCATTCCATGAGTGGTTAAAACTTAAACCCCCCGACCTGGCCGGTAGGTTACAGAACAAAGGTAAAAGAACACAAGTTTTGGCGATGGAGGCGAGACTCTGTGCATCTTTGGGTCTCCCTTCTCCTGACCCAAATCACCATCCGGCAATCGACACCGACTTCACATCTCTTTTCACCCATTTCACCACTCTCACATCATCCACCCAAAACCCTCAAAAACCCCTCAAACCTTCCCGAAATCCCCTCTCCTTTGCCTCAGCCTCCATTTCAGCAGATGCCCAATCAAAATGGCTCAAACCCAATCCCCCAAAACCCACCGAACTTGAAATTCCTCACCCTTTTGCCAGTTTAACTGAACCCCAACAACAAGAACCGCCTAAATTTCCCAAATGGCTAAAACCCACATCCAGAAACAGCCCCAAAGTCCGAACCCTCATGCAAAACTTATCCGTCTTCGAAAGAGCTCTTATTGGTGCAGCTGGTGGTGGAATTGCTGGTGCATTTACTTACGTGTGCCTTCACCCACTCGATACCATCAAAACCAAAATGCAGACCAGGGGTGCTTCCGAGATATATGCCAACACATTCGATGCAATAGTCAAAACTTTCCAGACTAAGGGTATTCTAGGATTTTACAGAGGAGTTTCAGCTGTTATTGTAGGGTCCACGGCTTCTTCAGCTGTTTATTTTGGGACATGTGAGTTTGGGAAGTCCATTTTGTCTAAATTGGATTATCCAGCTTTGCTTATTCCTCCAACTGCTGGTGCTATGGGAAACATTGTTTCATCAGCTATAATGGTACCTAAAGAATTGATCACTCAAAGAATGCAAGCTGGTGCTAAAGGAAGATCATGGGAAGTCTTGTTAAGAATTTTAGAAAAAGATGGGATTTTGGGTCTTTATGCCGGTTACTCAGCTACTTTGTTAAGGAATTTGCCTGCTGGGGTGTTAAGTTATTCCTCTTTTGAGTACTTAAAAGCTGCGGTTTTGAGTAGAACAAAGCAGGCTAATTTGGAGCCAATTCAGAGTGTTTTTTGCGGTGCTTTGGCTGGTGCAATTTCAGCTTCTTTGACAACTCCACTTGATGTGGTGAAAACAAGGTTGATGACTCAGGTTCATGGGAACAAAGCTGTTGCTGCTATGTATAGTGGGGTTAATGCGACGCTAAAACAGATTCTGAAGGATGAAGGTTGGATTGGTTTGACTAGGGGAATAGGGCCTAGAGTTGTTCATAGTGCTTGTTTTTCTGCTTTGGGGTATTTTGCATTTGAGACTGCTAGGCTTACAATTTTGCATCAGTATCTAAAACACAAGGAGAAGGAGTTGTCTAAGATCAATGTTGCGCCGGCTTGATTTACAGTATGTTGGTGATAATCATTTTCTCTATTTTGTTAAATTTGTTTCCATTGAGAGTAGTTCAAACAGACTGATTTCTGCCATTACACTATCATACATTTGGTATACACAGGTTATTTCTTGGTTAAGGATTCAATTTTCCCAACTTATAATATATTGTACCTATGCATGAAGAACCATCTTGTTCCACAGTACCTCAATTTTAATATGCTGAATATTACCTTTTCTGGTTTAATACTGAGTACCAGCTTACTTCCATAAAGTTTTGAAGCTTTCACTTGTAGAAGAACGATGGTTTAAAGTAATAGTTTCAAGTGTCTAAGACTTCCCAGTCGACTAGGTAGTAACGTTACTTTTAGGGTCATTCCTTGTTGTGCCCTTTTAGATCAATCTTTTACAGATTAGTGGCATGTGATACTTTTAGTGCCTCTATTTGCAATGGTTCGTAGTGCTCCATGGAGGATGCTGTTTGTGATGTAGATTCTTTTTAACAAAAGGAAACTGTAACTTCAAAGTTGTATCCGCCATGTGTGAAATTTTCTGGTCTATGCTAGAAAACAACTAGTTGGTTTCTGTTTGTGGGGGTACATGCATGAAACGAATTCACCTTGCTTCTGTGGGTGGATATCACGTACATTTATGCCTTTTTAAACTCTGGATTTGATTCTTTTTGTATGTCTTCTGTATTGTTGGATGATAAATAGGAGAAATGGCTTTTTAGAACTCTGATGGGTTCAGCTTCTCATACAATGGTATGGCATTTGCTTTTGGTGTTTATTGGATAAAGGTAAGCTTGAAACCTTTTCTTTGATTGGTGATCAAATATGTGATTGGAGAGGAATCACGACCTTAACATAAGCTGCTTAGATAGTTTGTTCTGTACATGAATCGAGCCTGCTTTATTTCAGTCAAATACGGAGTAGGTTCCAGTTGTTGAGTGGCTTTCTAGAATATAGAAAGAAGCCATATACACATGTATGGATGAGTTTGTGCTTGGCTCTCGTTGGAGCTCTTGGGATTGAGATTGCTTGCACCTCCTCAAGCCTTGTACTTTAGTTAGCAGTGATTGAGCTAGGAAATTGGTATTGTGGGATTGAATATGCTCTGAAAGAATAGAATAGCACATAAGGGTATGCTGTCGGATTCAGCAACCAGATATTCTATCATGTGCTTAGCTGGTCTGTTTTACATCGGCACAGTTATGGAAGGCATGTTTGCAAGATTTCACATAGATAACATGTAATGCCCCTTTTTTTTCTATTTTGAGAAATATATAATTCGCTTTTTGTGGAGACAGAGGTTGAGGCAAACGATAGGTGATTTGGGTTTTCGGTGGATGTAAGAGTGATGAAATAGGTGAAAAGGGCAATGGAGTCGGTGATTTGGGTGGGAACAGAGTCCCAAGGAATAGATGTAGCCATTCAACCTGTCTTTGTCTTTTTTTGTTTTGGTTTTTTATGTGGTGTTTTGATCACCACGAAGTATAGTTTCCGCAAACATGCGAGGAACAGAGATTGCACAAACCACAAGCGCTAAATCTTTTGTAGAGACAATTTTCACTTATTTTCAGGGATGGGTTTTTTTCCATCATACGAGACCGTATGGCTCTGAAAGTAACACGCTCATCCGTTTAATTTCGGGGAACAATTGTCCGAAAATTTTCAGAAGACTAATCCTTCCTACAAGCAGGGAACCGCTACAATCTTGCTTTGCAGCAAACAGTAACATGTTCAGAATCCTACATTCCAACAACATTTTTGAACATCAATGATAATTCAATCATGATCCAGCTCCTGCCTTGAACAAAAAAGGGTGTTTATCCTAGTCTTGGCGATGGTTGCAGTATCAGCCCATCAGCATCAGCTATCGCCAGTGGTGTTGTGTTTCATATTCCGTTTTAAATCAGGGGACAGTGTTATTGATCCAATGACCTTTAATCTGGGGAGGGGGACACAATTACAGAATGGGCATGCCTGTTTTTTTTTTTTTTTTTTTTGGTTAACAAAGGAAATAACGCCAATAGTTATTGCAAACTAGTTCTTACGTTACAATGAAAATCCCTGGCTAAAAATAGTTTCAGCGATTAAAAAACAGAACGGGTACGAAAAGAGTCACCCATAGCTCCTTCCCCTGTTTGCAGGCAAGCACCAGCGGATCTCTTAACTCTCTTTGTTTCATAGAGCAGTGCATTGCACTGACTTGTTGCAATTCCCAAGTCAACAGCCTGTATTGTCCATTAGAGGTCCCCAACCCAACCCAAGGGCTGTAAGCTAGGCTCCATTTCTTCACAGAGATCCACTTTCTGACTCCCTTCATCTTTTGTTAATCCAATGGCAGACGTCCTATCCTATCTCAGCCTGCTCCCTTATTTTAATGAACGCCTTTTCTCTGCTCTTCAAAAACAAAAAATATGTGTTCGTAGGATCAGAATTGCCTTCGGAAAGTCCTCTTAGTCCTAGTTCGCCAGTGGAAAACAACAAACCTAATGAAAATGTTTATTCAATAATCCTGAAAACCTGTCAATAAATAAAGCATCAATTGTTCTCGTAATTAAACACAGAATTAACAAAACATAAAGGATCAATGAGTCAGAGACATTAATATTTTCCAACGAATTTCTCATATTTTCCCAAGAAACAGCAAATATGGCAGAAGTGGAATCAAAGCATTTGCAAGAATGGCATCCTGCCAAACAAATTGTGTTTCCTTTAAAAATCAATATAACAAAAATACAGTAAAAACTAACTAATTACATCCCTAACCAAATCCAAAAATCTCTGGATTTCCTTTCTCCTCTGTATGTTATGTCCAAAAAAATAAATAAATTCTCAACAAGGCCTAATATGGGTAGTCCTGGTTTCGTAACTTCCCAAGCTCCAATCTTTACATCCAGCCCTTAGAGCCTTGACCAAATCCCTACACATTATCCTCACATTCCCTTCCCCTTCTCTTTGCATGACCACCAAAATCTTGGTCACTCCATTCCCTTTCACCACCTCTTCCTTCACCTTCTCATCTTTCCTCAAGCAACACACGCTCCACAACACTAATACTGCGTCCTCCGTCGCCGTTTTCGACACCTTCAACAACCTCTCCACTATCCCCGCCGCACATTTCGGATCCGAACTTATTGCTGACCTACCTTCCGGGCAAGTGCAAAGTACTGCTAACATCTTCAACGACTTTTCGGTTAGGGAGCTTGATAGGATCTCAACGGCGCCATTCTGGATGAGCTGGGATTTTATGGAACGGGTTATTGAAACGTTGGTTAAAAAGGAGACAACAGCGTCGTTTAGGGGTTCATTGTCGTTGCTCTTGAGGAGATGGACAAGGACGTATACAAGGTTTTGTGACT